GGGGGGGTGGGGAGGCAGAGAGAGTGAGGCCAACCACTGTGTTTGGGTGCCACGTCTTTCATAGCAACTAGAATCACAAAAAGTGGCGTGGAGTGCCTGGGAAGCAAAGTGTTGTTACAGCAAACCGGGTATTGCATCTGAAATATTTTTATCGGTACTTTAAAATCTGGGAGTTATTGATCAGAGAACTTTGCAACAGTTTAGTACAGTCAAGCAAAAAGCCCACAGATGTGCAGTAATCTTATAGGTGCGTTGATTTTAGGCCAGGACCCTTATTGTGTCAATATAACCAGACCATCTGGAAATCCCTTTCTTGAGACATATGCAAAGACATTTATGTTTTTCATTTTTGCTGGGACAGTTTATTTCAGATGACCCTAAAAAAATAATAATCAATATTCTTGTCAAAAAAGAAAGCCAAAAGCAGCTGTGCACACACACTCAGAATCCTCTTTCATGCTACCACCACCCCTAAATGTGTCCTACAATTCTATTTTAATCTATGGATATTTGCAGAACAGGTCCTATATAACCTCAAATTAATATTGATTTGTGCTATTGTGTAAACTATCAAGGATCATGTTGAAGTTCTTCTGATGTGAACTATGAACATCTTGTCAAGTAAAGGTTTATATTACTGTTGCAACAATATTGAACTATGAAAGGAGGGTCCGTTGTTATACAAGTGTTATGGTTTGAGAAAACCCATAACAATCTATTGTCGTTTATACAATTATTCTATCACCCAATGACCCCTCCCCACCTGCAAAGGGGAATCGAGGAACACAAAGAAACACGAGAGTTGAAATATAAATACATTTAATAGACTAAGACTAGATAATTACCAATAAGACTAAAGATCCAGTATTAATCCCGATACTGATATAAGATACACAAGAATTGTACTCAGCCAATTCAAGGGAGAGACAGCTACGCAGCAAACTTTTCTAATTTATATTGAATGTGAAGTTCATGGTATGAAATCATCCTGTTGGCCAGCCTGAGTCAAATGCCCAGGCCTTGCTCCTCCTTGTCGCTGCATCTGGCAAGACTTGAAAACACTAACCTGGAATCCCACAGAGCCTGGCTGGCTATATAGTAAATATTTTCACAAATTCAGACACTAGAGTCTTCTGAAAGTGCAATTTTGCCCAGCATTAGAAGAAGAGTTGGTCCTGCGTCTCTTAACCCAAGACAACAAGAAAGTCTTGACTCAACTGTATTCAGGCTTTCTTTCTGAAGTGATTTTTTAAAAATAAGATAAGCTTTTTAAAATGGAAATGTAAGAAGAAATAATCCAAAGTTTCATGTTGGTTTAAAAAAAGTTGATAAAATGTTCACTGAACCCTACTGTAAATAATCTGAAAATACAGAAAATAAGTTCTTTCTGTTCTTCCAGATGAGCAAGATTCATAAAGTAAACTGTATAAGGTACTATATGCATTCATGAGTTTATGCTTTGCTATCTGATGGCCTGATTCTCACCTCCCACAGGCTTTGCATCAGTATGCAAACAGCATGCAAGTCAGTGGGTTTACCCTTGAATTACAAAGGTAAAAAAAGATATGTCTATGTTAAAGCCACTCACTTAAATATTCCAGGTTATGAGATTTGGTAAACTAATCTGTGTTTCAAGGAAATAGGTTTCTCTTTAAGTAAACAAAAAAATGTAAATCAAACAGTACCTAAATTGTATTTTCATCCTGTGGGACAGATCTACATTTTAGAACCACGGACGTTCTCAAGCTGGAAGGGACTCATGAGGATCATCAGGTCCAACCTCCTGCTCCTCACAGGACTACCTAAAACTAAGCTGTGTGACTAAGAGCATCATCCAGATGCTTCTTGAACTCTGAAAGGGTCAGTGCTGTGACCACGTCCCTGGGGAGCCTCTTGCAGTGATCGACTACCCTGTTCAGTGAAGAATGTCTTCCTTATGTCCAATCTGAACTTTCCCTAATGCAGCTTCATTACGTTTCCTTGTGTCCTATCGCTAGTCATCAAAGAGAGGAGATCAGCACCTCTCCCTCCACTGCCCTCCTTGAGGAAGTTGCAGACTGCCATGAGGGCACCCCTCAATCTTCTCTTTTTCAAGCTGAAAAAAACAACTAACCTCAGCCACTCCTCATAACACTTGCCCTCAAGACCTTTCACCATTTTGGTCACCATCCTCTGGACTCCTCTGGACACAGTCTTACAGTCTGACGTCCTTCTTATATTGAGGCTGCACACAAAACTGCACACAGTACTTGAGGTGGGGGCACACCAGTGCAGTGTAGAATGGGAAAATCACCTCCCCCAACCAGTTAGCGATGCTGTGCTTGATGCACCCCACACCATGGTTGGCCCTTCTGGCTGCCAGGGCAGGCTGGTGACTCATATTCAACTTGCCATCAACCCAAACCTTTTTCATCTGTTTCCTTGGTGCTTTTCTCCAGCCTCTCATCTCCCGATTTCTATGTACAACCAGGATTACCTGGTCCTCAGTGGCGAATCCTGCACTCAACTCTTGTTAAATTTCATACAGTTGGGGATTGCTCATCTATCCAGATCTCTCTATAAGATCTATCTGGAGATCTATCTGGAGATAGATCTCTCATCTATCCAGATCTCTCTATAAGACTTCTCTGTCCTCTAGGGAGTCCATAGCTCTTCCCAGTATAGTATCATTGGCAAAATTACTGAATGTACATTTGATTCCTGTGTCCAGATAATTTATCAAAACATTGAAGAGCATTGGCTCTAAAACTGAGCCCTGGGGAACCCCACCGGTTACTGGCTGCCAGCCTGATGTAACCCTCATTTGCTGTAATTCTTTGAGCCCAACCCATCAGTCAATTGCTCAACCATCATATTATGAACTTGTCTAGCTGTGTGCTGAAAGCTTTGTCCAGAAGGATACTGTGAGATATAGTATCAAGGGCTTTGAAATCAAAAACCCTCGTATCTACTACCTTCCCTTGGTCAACTAGATGGACTACCTTGTCATGAAAGGAAATTAATTTAGTTAAGCAGGACTTTCCCCTCACACACCCATGCTGGCTATGACCAATGACTGTGTTGTCTCTCAAGTGTTTTTCAGTAACTCTCAGAATAACCTTCTCCATAATTTTACCAGGCACTGAAGTGAGATGGATAGGCCTTTGACCAGGGTCTTCCTTCTTGCCCTTCTTGAAAATTGGAATATTTGCCAGCTTCCAGTTGACTGAGACCTCTCCAGACTCCCAAGGCTGTTGCAAAAGTATGGAGAGAGGTCCTGTGATGGCATCTGCTAGCTCTTTCAGTACCCTGGGATGAATTCCATCGGGCTCCATAGATTTATGTGCAACCAGCTGGAGCAGTAAATGTTGAACAAGTTCAGAGTTGGCTGGGAGCTTTATCATTTCCCCAGTCTCAGTCTTCCAAGACAAGGCTCTGGGAGTCCCAAGGCCCATTATTGGTGTCAAAGACAGGCAAAAAAGTCATTAAACATCTATGCTTGTTCTATATTTGTGAGGTGACGCACTTCATTGAGCAATGGACCCATGTTATTTCTGGTCCTCCTTTTGCTGTTAACATATTAAAAAAATGCTTTTTGTTGTCCTTCACAGTGCTGGCCAGCTTGAACTCAAATTGAGCTTTAGCCACCCGATTTTTCTCCTTATGGTGGCCAACAGCATCTCTGTAGTCCTCCTGTATTGCCCTCTTTTCTTCTGCCCTGTGCTGTCCAGTCTTTGGGTGAGATTCAGAACATTTTTAATGTCTTATTTTTAATCTCTAAACAAGGCCATTTGCATCAGTCTTTGATAGCATTTTTTTTCTTTCTAAATTCCAGATAGACATATTCTGTGATTTTAACACCTTATTAAGCCTTCCTATCAACCACTTCCTTTTTTTTCTGTAGCTGGAAGTCTTGATAGTTCAGTCAAGCAATTGTGGATGCTTGTGTAGACAAGAAATGAAGCTATTCAGCCTCTTGTTACTTAGGCTCTCTGTTGTCACACCATCTCATCTGCATCTCCTACTGGGTGTAAGAGCCAAGGAATATGTTTCTTCACGTGACTCTACTGAGCACTGCCTTAGATTTGCCTTAGGTCAAACCTTGATTTTACATAAGAAATTGGAGAGTGGATGTTATGCTAAACATTTTGAAAAAAGCTGGCGATCCTAAAATGATTTCACTGTGTAGTTTTTCTTGACACTGTATGCCTATGGGGTCTGGAACGTGGTACTGTCTTTGTCCAGAAGGGTGGAAATACTGTAAATAAAAGCATAGTGCCATCATGCAACCCACCTGCATTTTCCAAAGATCATGTTGTCAGCTTGATTTTATGAACTTAGGG